TCCTCAAAAAGTAACATGGCAAATCATTAGTTCCAGCTACCTGAACTAGTAGTCGATTGTTGTGGATTTGTGGCCTGAATGATTTGTGGGGAAGGGGGGGGCTGATTAGGATGAAGGAACTGCCAACTGGTCAATATCATGCCATACACACAGACAGGGGGGGGGGGGGACCTGGGTAATCGCAAAATCTTTGAGACTTATGCCCTTTTGAATAAACTTATAAAGGCTAAATGAATTTGAAAAAAAATTGTATAGTCTTATTCTCAGTCATTACATATAAGCCAAGATATTAAAATCAAAGTGTACTATTAGTCAAAATAGTGAAAGAAGGGTTTTCTCTGTTCATAAATTTATTGTGTGTTAGAGCAAGGTGGTGGAGGGGGGGGGGGAGAATTGGAAAGTGTCCATGTGTCTGATTGACCTGCTTTGAGGACAGAAGTCAATGTGAAGTTGTATAGTCTGGCAGATATATGGAGCAGATATGATCAAAGTGACTGGTTAACATCATCTTGACATTTACAACTTCAAATAGCTTAGAGTGCATATAGGTACAGAGGAGGGGCAACATGCTTGTAAACAGGGGTTTGGATGAGGCGAGGCTGATTTGGTTTAATAATCTATGACCTTACTTTTTGCCCAAGGATCAATATTTCTCTCTCTCTCTTTTTTTTTTCCACAGGCATGCATGTCCTGCACACACACACGCATGTGCATATATTTTTGCATGTACTAGTAATTGTTTTCTGTGAGATTTTTATTTCAGTAAACCAAGAAAATTATTTATGGTATGGAGTAATATAAAATTTTACTTCAAGTTTAAAACAAATATGTCATAATTGTAGTTTCACAAAAGTCAGAAAGTTTAAGGGGCATATTTTTAGGCTTACTATTGGAGTACCCTGTTAATAAACTTGGTAAATAGACAGTTTCTGTTGCCAGGAGAGGTCTGATTTTCACCCGATACTCCACTTAACCTTGTGTATAAGGTGGGGTCTGATCTAGGTCAAACATAAAAGTACACTTGGAGTTATTATGGGTGTATCTTTATTATAACGAGGCTTTTGATTTAACCTGATTTAAAACATTTTTTGGCAATAACTCATCATGATAGGTAAAATCAGATCATGATAACATAGGTGAACTGATGCAGGAAGTTAATTGGAAGGATGAGTAAAAGGAAAATATGATGTTTTCAGGCATTTTCAATATTAACAAGAATACTTTCTTTTATTGAGAGAATTGTTCCTTTAAAGAATGTGAAATTGTACTGTCAAGCAAATGAAAAAGAACAAACTTGTTTTTATAAGAATTATTTAAAAT